TGCAAATCTGGCCCTCAAATCTTAATCCATGAATAAATCTATGTCCAAAATAATTTTTAAACCGAATTTAAACTATATTAGACGAGTTTGAGTCAAAAACTATATATCTCAAAATTCGCATTAAATTCGCATATTTTTAATTCTAGCGCGAAAACCGTCTAGAGTCCATGCCAATTTCTTTGCGAATTCTTAATCTACTAAAAATTACGGAAATTTTAAGGTATCTCCGGTCAAAATCGGTAGTGCGGTTAAAAAACACCTTTTAATTGTATTAGTCTATCTTAAATATTTTACAAGAGTATCCAAAACTTAAAATTAACGCTGAAGTATGCAACTGTGCACATATCTTCGTATTAAAAAGTTAAATTTATTAAATCAGTTTTACATACATATTTAAATTTACATATTGACAACAAATAATTAATAGAAAATATGAATTGTAGAGATTTACAATCACTCAAATATAAATATATATAAACTAGCCTATAAGCCCGTCTTACAGACGGGCGGATTTCGAATTTTTTTCATTATAGAATTTTAATGTTTTTAATAGACTGAGTGCACAATGTGCACATAACACTTATTTTCAAGTGTTCACTTCGCACAATATTCTTAATAAGAATAGTCCAGTCTCTGTCTGTCTGTCCGGAACGCATCCCCCAATGCATTAGAGCAAAGAGCAAATGTATTGTAGGGTAGCGCAGAGCGTAAGACTGTGACTCCACATCTATTATAACCACTGCATTGACTCCCCTTTACCGGCGTTTGCCGGGTCGGGAAGTGAAACGTATAGTATGGAATCGGGTAAAAACAAGAATGACCCCCACGGGGTCACGGTACACGCGGTAACCCCGTGTTATACACGGGTAAGCCTCTAGTAGTTATATGTTCACTGAATCTCATCATTAAATTCACCCTCGCTAGTATACGGTATGAATCTATGTTATTTAACTTAAAAAATACTTGAAATAAATAATTTTTTAAAGTTGCTAACAAATTTCTATAACGGTGCTGAGGATTTTTTAAAACTAATATTTTAAACGTTGCTATGCAATATTTTTAACGTTGCTAAGCACAATTTTTACCGTATCTAAGCAAAAATTTTAGCGTTGATAAGCAATATTTTTAACCTTGCCAAGCAATATTTTTGACGTTGCTAAGCAATTTTTTTAGCGTTGTCAAGGATTTATTTTACCCGCTGCTAAAGAATGATGATGATAATTACATGTATATTTTTTATAGACAAAATCATGATAGCATCCAACATCATATTCAAAATCACATCCATAATCACAATAGCAGAATAACATTCATAATCACATTATCACATCAAAAATCACATTATCACATTAAGAATCACATTATCACATTAATAATCATATTATTACATTAATAATCACATTATCACATTCATAATCACATTATTACATTAATTATCACATTAACAATCACATTATCACATTAAGAATCACATTATCACATTAAGAATCACATTATCACATTAAGAATCACATTAACAATCACATTATCACATTAACAATCACATTATCACATTAATAATCACATTATTACATTAATAATCACATTATCACATTAAGAATCACATTATCACATTAATTATCACATTATCACATTAAGAATCACATTAACAATCACATTATCACATTAACAATCACATTATCACATTAATAATCACATTATTACATTAATATTCACATTAACAATCACATTATCACATTAACAATCACATTATCACATTAGTAATCACATTATTACATTAATAATCACATTAACAATCACATTAATAATCACATTATCACATTAATAATCACATTATCACATTAACAATCACATTATCACATTAATAATCACTTTATTACATTAATATTCACATAATCACATTAATAATCACATTATCACATTAACAATCACATTATCACATTAATAATCACATTAACAATCACATTATCACATTAACAATCACATTATCACATTAGTAATCACATTATTACATTAATAATCACATTATCACATTAAGAATCACATTATCACATTAAGAATCACATTATCACATTAAGAATCACAATAACACTCACATTATCACATTAACAATCACATTATCACATTAACAATCACATTATCACATTAAGCATCATATAATCACATTAATATTCACATTATCACATTAATATTCACATTATCACATTAATATTCACATTATCACATTAACAATCACATTATCACATTAACAATCACATTATCACATTAATAATCACATTATTACATTAATAATCACATTATCACATTAAGAATCACATTATTACATTAATAATCACATTATCACATTAAGAATCACATTATCACATTAAGAATCACATTATCACATTAAGAATCACAATAACACTCACATTATCACATTAAGAATCACATTATCACATTAAGAATCACATTATCACATTAAGAATCACATTATCACATTAATATTCACATTATCACATTAATATTCACATTATCACATTAACAATCACATTATCACATTAATAATCACATTATCACATTAATAATCACATTATTACATTAATAATCACATTATCACATTAACAATCACATTATCACATTAACAATCACATTATCACATTAATAATCACATTATTACATTAATAATCACATTATCACATTAAGAATCACATTATCACATTAAGAATCATATTATCACATTAATATTCACATTATCACATTAATATTCACATTATCACATTAATATTCACATTATCACATTAACAATCACATTATCACATTAATAATCACATTATTACATTAATATTCACATTATCACATTAATAATCACATTAACAATCACATTATCACATTAACAATCACATTATCACATTAACAATCACATTATCACATTAATAATCACATTATTACATTAATATTCACATTATCACATTAATATTCACATTATCACATTAATAATCACATTATTACATTAATATTCACATTATCACATTAATAATCACATTATCACATTAACAATCACATTATCACATTAAAAATCACATTATCACATTAACAATCACATTATCATATTAATAATCACATTATTACATTAATTATCACATTATCACATTAGCAGAATCACATTAGCAAATCACGTTCATAATCATATACACGTGCGCTGAAGCCAAAATCCCAACTTCCAATCAGAATGCTGGAATGTCACGGAAAATTCAACGGGACGGACTTTTGTAAATTATAATGTAGATACTTGAGTTTCGAAACGATTACAGATATGGACAATTAACATAGTAGATATTTACGCTCCGTGGAATAAAGCATGACACAAATGATAAAGGGAAAAGTGTAAAACTAATGGCAATAAAATGTACTTGGAAGCACTCAAAGTTTAGTGGGCAAGTTACCTTTTTTATATTAATTTTAAGCTTATCAGCACAAGCTTAGTAAGCTTATAGCCATCGTTATACATAGGTACGTAATCATTGCATATTATAGGCCATAAATGGATAAGTTATACCCGATCAACGTAAAAAATATTTCCCAGAAGCACTGGATTCTTTAGGTAATGGCTAATTAACCATTTATCCGTCATCCCGTACAATCGATAAGTCCTAAAGTATAAAAGGACGAAGGAGTAGGAGAACGAAACCATTACCTCCCATTTCGAACAAAATAAATTACAAAAATGAGGATTGTCATTCTTCTTGTTTTCTGTATTGCTGCCATCAACGCCGGAGTGATTGACCACACCCGATGTGGTAAACGTTTTTAATTAGAATAAATCATGTCAAACATATAGTTTATGCATAACTATACAAGCATTTTAATTTGGTGGTTCAGGTGGTGCAGGAACATTCAGGGAGGCGCGAATCTATAACTCAACGGGTGCCATTGCTTTTATGAACCCAGGATATCCATACCTATGTAATAATTTCTAAAATTGCATATTTTCTAAGTCAGAGGTCAACGCCTTTGTGTAGTCAGTGATAGTGATAGTTTTGGCGTGATCACACAAAGGCTTGTGCCTATCAGAAAAGTATAAGACCAAGGAAGCTGTAAGATCCATTATAAAAAAATAAATATCCCGACATCCCGTCAGATACCCCTACTTTTTGGGATATACGGTTGTGCGGAGAAGTGGTAGATATTATGAAACTATTCAGTATTTCGGTATTAGATAACCAGGGTGAGTATTTGGAATAGGTGAGGTAGAATTATTATACGTATATAACTAAAATCAGTTCAGCCGGGTCAGAGCTGGCTAAATCAAAAATTGGTGTGTACCACTTTCTACATTTAAAAAATGAGTTTTTTTTCGTAAATTTACTTTATGCTTTTTGTGGGGTTTAAAATATGAATTTTTTTAACGAAATAAAACTGCCAACATTGTCCACTTTCAGGTGAAGGAGATTTCGTTCCTAGTAGTGCCAACTCCGCCCTTCGATTCAAAGTGTATGCCACCTACCTTGGATTCAAAGTCCCACTAATTGACGTCGTCCTTGAAAACTCTTCAGTTCAACCCGGTGTCGCTTACACCGTTAGATTTACCGTGACTCCCAACGATATCCTCGCAAATAACATAGTCCCAATTGAATCAAAAGTTTCCAGTAATCACACTGGACTTGTCGAGTTCTGCGTTATCCTTCAAGTACACGTAAATTGTGACACATTTTGTTAGACGTATCCCTAGTCGTGAGTAGGGATGGCAAATGCAGTAATCATACGATACAAACGTTCACATATGGTTGACTATGTTGGAAGCAAGAATAATTTAATTATTTATAAAAATTATGTCGACTAATAAAGATGTGTGCACACAAAATAATGCTGTAGTGAATTCCGTATCACTTTCTGCTGTAAGAAAAATAAACTTCAAGTGCTTAAAATAATGTCCGCTAATCCAATATGAAAATTACTGCAAGGATTTCAAACAGGGTAGTGGCGGTATTATGAGCTAAAATTTCAGAATAGTGCTGGAGAGCTGAGTTTGTAATGATTATATTTTGAAATTGTTTGCAAAATATTTTATAATACATATGTATGTTGCAGTTCAGAAAGGTTATATAACTTTCTGCTAAGGGTTAACAAGATTGCACATCAAAACTAAAATAATCTATTTACAATTATCTGTTAATTTTCTTATTATTGAGTTAGTCCTGCATCTTTTGCCATACTGTAGAAGATTGTGGTTTTATCCTTCATCAAATTCACGGGAGTGTCAACCTCAACAATTTGACCTTTATCTAAAACCACAATTCTAAAAACAAACCAAATCGAAAAGTTTAAATTTGTATTGAAACATTTTGCATCTCATTAACAATGGTGTAATACCTTGTCGAATCCATTATGGTATTTAATCTGTGAGCTATCGTTATCACAGTGGATTCTGCAAATTCCTGTCTTATGGTTTTCTGTATTAAGTCATCCGTTTCCAAATCAACGGCGGCCGTTGCTAATTTCAAATAAGTTAGTTTAAACCAACTAAAACTGGACCATTGCTATCTAAGAGGATACAATTTCTACATACGTGCCGAAATCACGTGCCCATCATATTAACATTGACGACGGGCGGAAATCAAATTGAATCTGTCCTTATTAACTCCAGAATCTTAATTTACTTACCTTCGTCTAACACAAGGATTTTAGTTTTCCTCAAAAGTGCCCTGGCCAAACAAATCAGTTGTCTCTGACCCATACTAAAATTCTGGCCTTCTTCTGCCACCTCATACTCCAACCCTTGTGGCAAACTAGAGACATAACTTTTCAAATGCGCAGATTCCAAACAGTCCCAAATATCCTGGTCAGTATGAGACGAGAACGGATCCAAATTTGTGCGCAGAATACCAGAAAATAAGACAGGATCTTGGGGGATTATCGTTATTTTTTTGCGGAGATCATGCAACCCAATTTCGACTATGTCTTGACCGTCTATAAAGATTTTTCCAGAGGTTGGTTCGATCAAGCGAAAGAGCGCCAGTGTTAGAGATGATTTTCCCGCGCCTGTTCGCCCAACTGAAATTAAAGTCACAACAAATTTACAATTTGACCTCTCCCGCCAAATGTTCTATACTTGTTTACCAATCCCAATTCGTTCTCCAGGTTTAAAGGTACAACTTATCCCCCGAAGAACTAAGTCGAGGCCTTCTCTATACCGTGTTTCATACCTTGAAAATTCAACTTTTCCCTCACTTGGCCATTCTTTCGCAGGTTTTAGCCCCGTTTCCCAAGGTGCCTCCTGCGGCGTCGAATTCAACTCTGCAATTCTTTCGACGGCAACAATATTTGTTTCCAGATCGGAAGCAGTTCGTACCAGAAAGTTTAGAAGCGCTGTGATCTGAAGGGCGGAGCTTATTGAGAGGCCAACAATCTCTGGATCGATGGATTCTCTAGAAGCTACGGCGAACATTGCGGCAGCAAATATGATTAGGCTGCCGATCGCTTCAAGTCTTGTAGCTATCCATCTACATATTTCAGTATTGATACTAATAGCCAACTAATTAATTATTAATTTCTTAAATTAAATAAATATTTACAAATTTGAGGCAATAAAGGGATAATAGGCTTGTTGGTTGTCATCAATCTTTTTATCACTTTCCAGTATAAACTCGTCTTGTAGCCCAAATGCCCTTATAGTCGTGGAACCAGAAATTGTTTCGCCAAATTTTGAATAAATAGGAGACCTCGAAACGGATTCCATTCGTTTAAGTTGGCGGGATGTGGCAACGTAAAATCTCTGAAAAGATTAACAAATTTTGTTCCCTGTTTGATTCAAACTCTCAAGTTTTTGTCAAAATTGATTAAAATTTCACTCACCTGAAGAAAAAAATAGAAGACAGCAACCGGCGCAATAAACGCTAAAAACAACGGCGTACTATAAGCAATACTGACAATAGCACCTAATGTATTAAACAAAATCATATTCCCGCTTCTCAAGTTCTGGGGTAATACGATATCCACAGTATCCACATCCTTGCTAAACTTATTTAACAATCTCCCCAACGGTGTGGTATCGAAGAACCACATTGGTGCTCTTATAACCTTTCTCAACATCCCAAAATGCAGCTTTGCAGCCGCATTCAGAGTTGCCATGGCCATAGTTCCCGCTGCAAACAGAACAGTTACAGCTTGCGCTGCCCCAAGCCCGCCATATATACCCAAATACTTATCCGTAGTTTCTCTATCGTTTGTACCATTCCTTTCCATTTCATCGATTGTCGCTTGCTTCGACCATTGCGATAACCATATGTTAGCATACGTCGCGGCTGCGTTCGATATGATAGTGAACGAAATCCCAAACAGGAAGATTAAGAGCCCGCCTTGTTTGAAATATTCAAAAATTATCCCGCTCTGAATATTTCCCTCTGCTGTGGTTTCAGCCTGAATCAATTTCGGCTTTTCACTCTCCAATTTTACTAAATTTCCCTTCTTTCTACTTCCACTTGTAATACTATCCTGGGTCGACCTTCTTTTTTGGTTTTCGATCTTAAAACTGTTTCGTCCTAATGTCTCAATGCCAACGATTTCTCCGATTTCTTCCACCAAACTTTCATCCATTTCTTCGCCTTCCCCGGTGTCCAAGTGCTGAGCCAAAAATTCTGCAAAACTTCCCCGATTTTTTAGAAGTTGTTGAAATGTTCCATATTCACTCACCCTCCCATCTTTTAGGACCACGATGTTGTCAACTTTTGGAAGGAAAGAGACGCCGTGAGTTACAAGGATCCGAGTCTTCCCGTTAAGGAGCCCTTGCGGTCCGATTAGTTTGTCGAATATGTGTTTCCCCACGTGAGCATCCACTGCAGAAAGTGGATCATCCCAGAGATAGATGTCGCTCTCTTTATAGGCTGCCCGGGCTAAGGAAACGCGTTGCTATAAAAGTTACAATTTCAATTAGAAATTTTAATTGACATTGGAAATTTAAAAAACAAGGTTTACTTTTTGGCCACCGCTTAAGTTAATTCCTTTCTCCCCAATCTCAGTTTGGTCTGCATTTTCCAATAATTCTAGATCAGGACCAAGGGCACAGGCGTCAATCACACTTTTATATTTATCTTCTTGGAAACCATCTTTGAAGAGAACATTTTCTCTTAAACTTGCGTTTTGAATCCAAGCCGTTTGTGCTACGTATGAAAGTGAACCGTCAATATTTACTGTTCCTTTATGTTTCTTTAAATCTCCAAGTATTGCTGACAGCAAAGACGTTTTTCCCGAGCCCACAGTTCCAACTAAGTACAAATTAATTAGAATTATAAATATAAACTAGAACTATAAACATTTCTATTAAAAGACTAACCGACAGCGGTCAACGACCCCTTCTTAACGCTAAAATTGATATCCGCCAAAGTGACAGATTCATCGGTCCACGAAAACGATGCATCTTTAATGACAACTGGTTCATCTAAAAATTAATTAATCCGTTACCATTAGTTGAAACATTCCAGCAATTAACTAACCCTCATTCTTCTCCTTAGTCACTGAATCCTTCTCAAGTTCCTCCGCATTCAGAAACCGGTTGATACGATCCACACTAACCATCGCTTGAATCGTTATCGCAATCACCGCTGGCAACATAGTCATCGGCATCCGCAAAATATTAAACAGGCTTAAAGAAACAAAAGTTTTCTCCGCGTTCAAATTATGCGTTTCATCTGTCAGAACGTACACCGCGAAAGTTGAAAGTGAAACCAGAAACGGGGCGCAGGTGAAGGAGAACATTGTGCTGGTACCGTAAAGCGCCGCCTTCCTCAGCAACATCATCTCTCGATCCCTCAACTTTGTTATTTGATCAGCGTATGATTGTTCCCAACCGTAAAGTTTTAAAACTTTCATACCGGTTAAGATTTCATTTATTAGTTTAACCCTCTGATCCTTAATAAGCATTTGTTTCATTTGCAAATTTCGAACTCGGGATTGAGTAAATCCTGTGTAAGGGATTAGTAGTATCATTACAGCCAAACCCGCGAATACTGATGGACCCAAGGTGTTGTAAAGGAAGTAAATTGACAACCCAATTTGAATCGGGGCGGTCAAAGCCATGAAGAAGAGGCCCGCCAAGTCTAAAAGCCTTTGAGTGTCGACACTCATTAAGTTAACAATTTCCCCCGCGGTTGTATCTCTTTTCGCGGCGGAAGTTATGATTAGAGATTTTCGGTAGATGGCGGACGATAGAACGGTACGTGTGCGCATGCCAAGAAGCATCATGCGTTTCAAGTGTTGAACGCCGAAAATTGTTTGGAGGATTGAGCACAAGATTAGTAGACCGGAGTAGAGGTAACCTTTCCAGAATTCTTCCGTGCTTTGGGGGGAGACGTGAGCGACAAGAAATCTGTGACGACAAATTAAGTTTAAAACTACTATAAACTAAAATATTCCACTAATTATTGTTATATCTGTATTTGCATTTACTTCATTAATTCGGGTGAGACGAAGGGTAACAAATCTTGTAAAAGTTTCATGAGTCCTGCCACGCACAAAGTTTTCCAGTAACATTTGAACAAGATCGAGACAATTGAGACTTGTATGGATTTCCCGCTTTTGGCGCTTTTTCTAAATTTAAAATGGAATAGAATTAAATTTATTACGAGCAGATAAAGTTTTGAGACTTCGGACGTCAATAAACTTATGTGGTGATGGAATGCAGCAATAGTATTGCTTAATGTGTTGTGCGGGTATTTTATTATATTAGTGCCTAATATAGTCCAATGTAAATTGGGGACTAACTGGGCAAAATGACACGAATGTATAGGGAAAGTATAATCTGGCGCCAAATTTAAATACGTTCAGACCAACAGACTTTACTGGACAATTAGTATTATAGATTATTTTAAAATCTATTAAAATCTTACGCCTTTGCTGCTTCAACAGCAGCATCCCAATACATGTTAAAAGTTGTAACTTGCTCATCCGCTCTGTCATCTTTGTTCAAATCCCACAAATCTTCGAAGTTCAAAGATCTCTTGTACCCGGTCCAGGCGATCGAATCGAACCAAGAATAAGTTATTTTTAAAATGAAAGAGGATTGTTTTTCAGGGCATGGCATCTAAATAATGAAATTATATCATAATTCTCTTTATCTACATAAATTGATATTTCCTTTAACGAATGGTGACAACGTTTAAACTTTTTTTATTACTCACTTCAAACGGCATGTGACTCTTTTTCCCCACTCCACAAGTGGTCGTATCTCTGTCAGCAAAGCAATGTAAGATCAGCTGCCCAGCACACAATGGGAAGATAACAAACCGCATGAGGAATATGTGACGTTGCATCGACTGTGAACATACCAAAAAACGCAATGCACCCAACATTTGAACTGACAATTATTAAGTATTTCACAATATTACAGCTTAAAGTCACATGGGCATGAACAACTCTGACGAGAAGAAACCGTCTATATGCCATCTTCAGATCGCCTCCAAATTTTGACCCAAAGTAGGTTCTAGTTTTTTTAGAAATATGTTTTGAAGGATTTGATGAAATGGCCAATTGCTCTGAAGATACACATATAACGTTTAAGTTTCAAAATTTTACAAATGAAATTTTACAAAGTACAATCATACTTATTCCTGATAAAATTTCACATTTTAACTATTTTCGGTTAAAAAATATTTTTAAAACAATTTTTACATTTAATCATTTGTAAATATAAACTCTATTTTTGATTTACTGCAGATTTTGATATATAAATAATATTTATTCTCGTCACCCAATCAAATCCTCACACTTGTAACAATAGGGAAAAATTCGAAATTGTAACCTTTCATGGCGTGTGACCATCAAGTCCTTCAAGTTCTATTTCTAAAAAATCAAAATTTACTATGCCTCACACTTTGGAGGCGATCTGAAGTTGGCACGTAGAGAATTTCTCCTTCCGAGTTTTATAACGTTCAATTACTCACCTCTTCTACCGTATCGTCATATTTCCTTACTGCCGTCCTAAATAAAATCCCCTCAGTAATTGTTACTAGCAACCAAAATAGGAACTGTGTGCCGGATGCCCGGATCCCTTTGAATTTGCCAACAATTAAGAGAAATAGTGCTAAAACCTGAAAGTAACAACGGACAGTGCAAAAAATATTCAAATTATAATGGTACTCCCATAATGTTATCCATTTTAAAAGTTTTGAATACCCACATAAGAAACTAATCTCGCAATTACAGCCACATTTTCAACGGCGCTAGTTTCTTCATATTTCTGTAATAAAATTAAGTGAATCACTCCAGCTACAAGGAGACATGTGTTTAATAAGGATCTCCCAATGTTTATCGGGTTCCAGGGCAGCCCCTCTCTTTTCCCGGAAGTTAGGGAGAAGTTTATATCAAAGAAGGAGAATAGACCGAGGATCGCTGTAGGAAGCCAGGTGAGAACAGTGCTTTCGAAACAGGGCGTGAAATAAGGGTCCGTTGTGTCCCAAGTAACATTTCGATCCTAAACAGTTAATTAAATTCAAACTGAATCTGAACACTTTTAAATTGAAAACAAATATAATTTTACCCAAAAGGTAGATCCGCAAAACTCATTCATTTTATTTATAATTAGTTAATTTTGATTAGGTACTTTACACAATTCGTCGAAATTAATACTTATTTTGACTTTGTGGCGCACTATAACAGCCGATTAATTCATAAAATATTGATTACTTAATTCGTATTCCATTAAATGCTTGGTTTCATTTATCAGGTTGGATGATGTTTCAAAGTCACGGATTGAAATCGTAATTGCTTAAAAAAGCAACCCGTGATACGATTTTATACTAAATTAGAGACAAAAGTGTACAATGCATCATACATAAGTTAGTGTCAGATCTGGGTTAGGGAAACTCTTCCAGTGTAAGTATTAATATTACTACTCTTATCATTTTTTATCAGGTTGATAAAACTGTAACTTATGCACGGGACGAAACTCTACCTATGCTAGATAATCAAGGAACAATATGTTAGGGTGGGATTGATGTTCATTGTTTTGTAAACCATTTTAACCTGTTGTGGTAACAAATGATATCCATATTTGACTTTTGTCGGGTTTTCAAGATTAAAATATTAATGAAATAAACTGCTTACCGAAGTGGATAAACCACGTCTAACGCATGAGAAATAACTTTCGGTGGTTTTTATGTATTACCAAGTGTAACCCAATCACGTGTAAAATGTTTTTAATATCCCAGACATGCTTATGTGGCTCTACCGGACGTATAATGTCGTCCTCAAACGTAAGTTTATCCTCGTTTGTGGTAAACTCCTACTTAATTGAGGACTTACCCATATCGACCAGAATTAAAATTAATTAATTTTTGGTGTGAAAAAAGTTGTAAATTTTCAATTTTGAAAAATGACGTGGATTTGACAGCAATATTAAGGTATTCCGAGTTTAAATTCATGACGTTAAAACTGTGTGAATATGAAATGAACCCAAAAATACTATAAATTCAAATTTCATGAAACTGGAAGCAACATAAATTTAAAGTGAAGTGAATGACCTAGTGTAAATTAGGTCTTATGCATTCATTAATTCTACTTAACAAATAAATATATTGATCTGATCTTTGTCTAATCAAATTTTAATATTTTATTAAATTGGATTAGGTGGGTGGATGGTAATCTGGATGGATCTCATTTTACAACAAAACTGTCATTATGACAACGTTTTAAGGAAAGATCTATGTGGTTAACATTAAAAATTACAATTACAGATTTTGTCATGCAAGTAACGGCTGTTATAAAATCAAAGTCCGACCTTTCTAGATTTTCAACCACCCTTCAAACAACGCAAGTTTTTCAGTGCCGTTCTAAATTTTATCCCAAACATACAGTAAAATATGAAGTTGGCACTTGAATTCAGCAAAATCATAGACATTCCTTGCGCATAAAATCCATGAGAAGGGGATCCCGCCCAAGAAGTGCCGGCCAACAAATCAAGTACCAAGTACACGCAGAACAAGGCATTACTCAAAAGTGAGAGGGAAACGATGGCAACCACAGTTTTTGTTACGGATTTGCTCATATACGCCGGTTCGGAAGAGGACGTTATGTCTCTGACACGGTTCGCGCGACTTCTTCGCGATTTTGACGTTGAAATAAGACAGCAAAACGCATGGAATAAGTAATCGAACGAAGAAATGGGTAATGTCAGAATTGCAGACACGATAAAAATCTGACCGTCCAAAGGCGGAATCGGTGTAGTTGTAAAATGTTTCCTTGTCTCGTTCAACTGGAACAATTTTCAGTTGGAACCATGCCGGTAGATTTAAAACCACCACGGCAGCCATGCTTCCCCAAATCAATTTGTGGCATGTTGGGCGAAAATTCAATGGGTTGCAGACTGTAATTTAAAGAGAAAAGTGATTTTACATTAACTAATTAGATAAGTGACAGAAATTCTGTCACAGAACACATTATACTGTATACCCTGCCCGGTACCGTTCCCAGGTGAGCAGCAGTGTCATAGAAACGGATTCCATCGTAGCTGCAAGTAACGAATAAAAAAATTTGCTCAGCAAAACAAGACGTATTTGCGGGAGTTTTCTCGGGAACTTGAGTCAGTTTAAGTGACTTTACATAAGTTTGAACCACTATAAATAAATCAGAAATATACGCACCTGTTGCAAACAAGGGATCGGAAACTTTGTGAATTAGTGGGAACCAGTATGTGAAAATTTTTCCATTCTCGGTTGCATGAAACCATACCACGTTGACATAATCCATGAAGAATACGAGAGACACAATGGTGATGGAGTCCCAAACCGCAAGCCACCTCAACATTCCACTGGCGGGTGACTTTTTCAAATCCTTTGTGCTGAGCACAAAAATGCTCAGGGTGTTCCCTGAAATTCCCAAGGTTCCCACACATATGGAAACCACAGCAATGACAAAGAAAAATGAACTTTTCACCTTTGCTACTAGTCTTGGTTCTACAAACTGTAAAAGTTCGTCAATTTGAGTTTCGTTACTAACTGAATTATCAAAAAACTGCTCGTTCAAAACCATAACTTCTGGTCCGGCTGCCATGGTGATTTGTCACTTTTTCCAATTTTTTAATAAATTAATCTATTGACTGGAATGAATTTTACATGCTGTGCTGACTATACGGGTGATAATAGAATTGACTTAAAATTAACTTAATATAAGGCATGTACTTAATATAAGGTCTTATGGCCAGTGTCATTCTAAGTCATGTATGGAACAGAAAACGTATGTCTTTATCGTTCTAGCCACGCATAATTGAGGGGTTGACATATTTGCAATACATACATCTGTCAAATGAAAAATTTAGCTAACTAATATTGGTTGACTTTTGTGTGCAAAATTTATATACATTCGATACCCAAGATGTGACTCAATAAACACAGGATACTTTTGGTTTCGCGATAATACATATTTTGTATTCACTAAGTCCTGTACGGATGGAGCATTGCTAACATTGAATTCTTTCATGGGATTATATGGAATACATTGCCTATTGTTTAATTCATGGATTCAATTTTAATTCTTAGGATTAGTGTATTTGCTTGATGTCCCATCCTAGCATCACCGTATGTATGTGAATATAAAAATTCCAGTGAGTGAAGATATGTGATGGGAATAAATAAATGATAAAAATGATCTAACATACGTACTTTTCTATTCAACCCGTATACAAATTTATTAATCATCAAAACAGAAAAGATTTAGTTTATCCAAATAAAATTCAGCGCTTGATTGGCTTAGATAAATAAATAGAGAAATAAGAAAATGTTAGTGAACTGCGATATTTATGGACTGAAAGGGGTCAAAAGATTAATTCGGAAGCCGATGTTTTTGCATAATATCACAAATATATCTAGCTGCTTACCCTCAAAATTTCATAAGCTTCTGATCAAAACTGTGCTTTATACAATATTTTGAAGGGATGAACTCGAAAATCGAATTTTTCATAAGTCTCAAAATTTGTCACAAATTGACTCGTCTAAAAACTGAAAACAATTCAAGGAGCAGGGGTGTTACGACCCAAAATTTAAAATAAACATAAAAAAGTATGGAGAATCCAAATATCTAAACTTTAAAAATATATAATTAAGAATTCTCATCATAATTACCCATTTAAAGTTGAAAGACATGAAATTTTTTTTTGACAAATATCAAATTACATCCTTACCTAATGTGGCAAAGATATCGAGGATACATACAAACGAAATATATTACATTAAAGCTCATATATTTGTGATAAAGTCCTGTGCAAAAAAGTCTGCACAAATACATACCGAATCTTGGAAATTAATAGTAAACGCAGGACAACTCTAGCGGGACTACAAAATTTTACCAAAATAGTTGATCATCAAATATGCATCCAACTCACTTAATAACCCCGGCCAAAACTTATGGAACGCATTTTTTGATGCAAAATATCCCCCTATGAGAAGAACAAAGAAAAATTGACATCACAATCAAAATAACTGAAGATATGATTGATTTGGCAAGCGCTGGACAAATTCAGCCAAAGTTAGGACCCCTGAATTGGTGAAGGCCTGATGAACGCAAAAAATAATTTTGGGGGATTTGTGATAAATATCTTCATTCCGTGCATAACAGGGTTTTACAAAACCCACCTTTTGAGCTTAATGCCCAGCCCACTGGGTAAAATGGAAAAAATGGGGAAAATGGGTGGGTAGTGGGGAAAATGGGTATTGCCACTACCACCATCGCGGAAACGTTGAATAAAACTTTTTTTGTGCTGTTTCTTTTATAATTAATTTCTGGATTTCGATTTTTAAAGTTAATTAGAGTTAAGTAAAGTTTAATTACAGTCAAGTTGTCAGTGCGGTCCAGAATATTGTATAATTTATTGTGGAATTGGCACAAAAAGTCTGTACCAGTGTCACTGCAGTGTACCAGGGTCAACCCGTTAAATTTTCCTTATAATCGTTCTTAAATTTAATTTAAAAAAATGTCCAGAAAAAGGACATCAGTGACAGATTAGTGACCATGAATACTTGGTAAAGAAATCTTATATTTACACACTTAAAATTTTCTTTTGCTTTTCGAAAAGCAATATTTTCATGTCCTTCATCTGTAGCAAAATGAGCCCAGTCTCAAGCAAATTTGAATGCTTAATTCTGAAGCAAACGAATTTCAGCCTAGGTTAAAAGCATTTTGCTAGATATGCTTTATGCAAAGTGTAATTTGCTTTAACGTAAGCTCGGTTGCTTCTGTTGAAGGTAAAAGAGCTCCAGTTGAAGTAAATAATAGGAAGGAGGAGTTTGTCCATCATCATCACCGCGCGGTTCTTTTGTCAGTTGGACTCGCCGGACTTTCCGAGTTGGGAAACTTTTATTTTTCAGGTTTAGCACAAAATTTGTAATAATTACTGTCAAATAATAATTTATATTGCACACCTAATAAATTAAAATGGAATATAACGAAGTTACTCGAATTTTGGAAGAGCTGGAGCTATCTGGTTATCTCGACAAATTTAAAGGTTAGTCAATATGACAGTGAATTATTATTCACTTCTAATGTAATCCCGTAATTTAATACACATATATTTATTTATTTCAGAGCATCAAATATCTGACAAGTCTTTCGTCTTAATGTCAAGAGACGATTTATCAGAAATTGTTCCGGTACTTGTCTACCGACTGCAGATTCTCTCAGCGATCGACGTTTTAAAAAGTGGAAAGGTATTTCCGTGCTTCAAGTGTGAGCTTGGTTTTATTAGTTTTCAAAAATTGTTAGATCATTTTAAAGATCATAGTTTGGCCGGAAATAGTATATATAAATGTTTGCACTGTGATAGTCAACTAGATAGAAAGAAC